GCACCTCCGGGGGAATGGACACACTTGAAGCTCGGACTTGGGGGGGAGGGAGGGTGAGGGCATCATACGTAACCTAATCATCTGTACCCCCATAACATGCTGAAATGAAAAAAAAAAATAAAAGTCAAAAAAAAAAAAAAGAGATGGTGTCTTAGTCTGTTCAGGCTGCTATAACGAAGTACCTTAGAAAGGGTAATTCATAAACAACAGAGGTTTATTGCTCACGGTTCTGGAGGCTGGAAGTCCAAGATCAAGGCACCAGCAGATCTGTGTCTGGTGAGGGCTCTCTGCTTCATAGATGGCTCCTTGCCGCTGTGTCCTCAACATGTCAGAAGGGCAAAGGGCTGATGGCCTCCCCCAGGCCTCTTGCACGAGGGCACAGTCCCCTCCATGAGGGCTTGCTCCCGTGACCTCATCACCTCCCAAAGACCCCGCCTTCTGATGCCATCCTCTTGGTGATTAGAGTGAAGAGGACACAAACCTTCGGATCACAGCAGACGGTGTATGCAAAGTGTCGGCACAAAGGAGGCAGAGGCAGATTTGGAAACCAGCTCTGTCCAGCCCCAAGGCTGCAGCCTGGCACAGTCGCATTCTCCAAGGCCGTGGCTGATGGAGGAGAGAGTCCCAGCCCCGACTTTCCCCCCATCCTTCCCCGCCACTGATCCTTCTCCTGGCTCTCAGACAGTCCAGCCGCGGCACCAGCGATCGTCCCACGCTCTGTGTGGCTGCTCTTACCGAAACCACTCAGGGACCGTTTTGTGTCCCCTCCTCCCAGGCCAAGTTCCCTCTGCCTGCTGCTCTGCACTTCTGTGCGGCCTCGAGGGAATCACCAGCCACGCTGGGTCTCTGTGGCCACATCTGCATCATGATGAGTGGGCCCCAGCACCTTCTGGGGTGCCAGGCCCTGGGATCCAGCCAGGAGCCCAGCGGAGGTGCTTGGCTCTCAGGCATCCATCCCATGGCCTCTGGGAGGGATGGACAGGAATCAGATGGTCACACTTTTTTTTTTCATTTCACTTGCAGGAGAAGTTCAGGGCCTCTAGCCGCAGCTAGGGGTGACCCTCCAGGGTGGTTTTCCTGGGCATGACTAGAACTGAGCCAGGGACAGGGGAGCTGGGGAGGACGGCGGAAACAGAATGAGGGAACAGCCTACATGGACCGGACCGAGGGAGAAGGACTGAGACGGAGGCTGGGTCATGCCTGCAGGAGGGAAGGCTGTGCTTGGGTTTGGGATTTGATTGTATAGACTGGGCAGTCCCTGGACAGTTTTAAGCAGGAGAACAACTTGACCTGATCTACATTTTGAAAAGAGCCCTTGGGCCCTTGGGGGAGAGTGGGTTGGGGAGGGGGCGGGGAGGCCAGGAGACAGGCCAGGAGCTCACTGCCGTGGGCGGGGCGGCTCTCACCAGCTGTCTCTCAGAGTCTGGGAGAAGCCAGGCCGCCTCCACGTGTGAAGGTTCCGGTATACAAAAACACCAACCTGAGTTACAGACAGAGCCTGGAGTACAGCCTCGTTCGAAGGGATGTCCGATGTCCAAATTGGGGACTCTGCAAATGTGCGACCCAGGCCCCTGGCTCTACTGAGTGGTGTGCCCACCCTGACCTGTGACCGGGCTGGATTCTGGTGGTGGCGGAGAGGGGAGAGGAACGGGCTGAGTTGTAGGCGGCAGGAGGAGGAGGGCCTGGCCAGCGACTGCGGGGGTTGGGTCCTGGTTCCACCACTCACACGCTGTGTGACGTTGGGCAAACATTTAAAGTCATTGTGCCTCAGTTCCTTCATCTTCACAGGGCGACAGTAATAGCGCACATTTCACAGGGGCTTGTGCAGAGGGAGTCCTGCCAAGGCCTCAGCGCAGAGTCAGGGCTTGACAAACCGTAGCTACTGTGTTAATGGGACTACATTTGGGGCCTTCTGAGGGAGTGATCGGGAAAGAGAAGCTCTTCTTTTGCTGATATTGCTGAGTGTACACCTCGAGCAGCTGGAGGCGTCTTGCCATCGTGAGGGGAGAGCCTGCCTGAGGACAAATCAGCACAAAGGACAGCAGTGTTCAGAGGCAGGGCAAGAGGGACTTAGTCATGATCATATCATTTGAGACCCTTGATCCAGCTGTTACTGAAGATCTACCCGTTTATTCAGGCACGTAAGCCAATCAAGTCCTTTGTTTTCTTCCTTTCTTGCTTAAGTTACTTTGAGTTAGGATTCTGTCATTTGTAACAAAAAGAGTTTTAATGGGTATCTACCCACCTACCCACCCATCCAACCACACACCCATCCATCCACCTGTCCATTCATCCACCCACCTATCCACCCATCCATCCACCCACCTGCCCATCGACCATCCACTCATCCACCCACCTGCCCATCTGCCATCCACCAATCCATCCACCCATCCACCCACCTGTCCATCCAACATCCACCCATCCATCCATCCATCCATCCATCCATCCACCTGTCCATGCACCCATCCACAGACCAGCATTCAAAGCCCAGCACCAACACACCCTAGCTGGGTGGGCTGAGACACATCACTTCCCCTCCCTTAGATTTAGTTTCTGCATCTGTAAATGGGAGATTCATCACCCTTTATGGGGCAGTTGCAAGGATTACCTGGGTAACCCATGGAGAGTACCATGCTTCATACCAAGTGCAGAGGAAGGGCTCAGTAAATTTCCCCTCCGGCACGTCATTTCTGTCTGTCGAGACCCAGCCCCTGCCCCTCCCCCTCCCCGGGTGCCTGGAAGGCCAACACCCCACTGGGCGGATCCCCCTGAGCAGGCCGAGTCTGGTTGGAACAGCCTTTATTGTTTCTCCAGCATTTTCCAGAAGAACGGTGGTGTCATTCGAGGGCCGAAGGGGACAGGGGGGAGTAAAAAATAACATAAACAAACTGAATAGAAACGCAGGAGGGTGGCAAGAGGGGCAGAGATCGGGTGTTTCGGGCAAGAAGACCTGGGACAGTCAGAGCCTCTTAGCTTTCAGCCACCAGGGTGGAGAATTCTGCAAAAGCAAGGACAAAGGGAAGTGAGTAGAGGCAGATTCGCAAGAGAGACTGTCGACTTCCTCTCGCTTTTGCATCTGCTGCAGGAGACCTGGAGAGCGGGGGTCGGAACAAACGGGTGAATGAATGAAGTGAGACAGGAAGTGACAAGCCTACCACATCTCTTGTTTCATGATGTCATGCCACACACAAAATTATTTTTAATAACTACAACAATAATAGCAATAATAAGTTGCTGTTTGTCATATACCAGGTACTACTGTAAACACTCTATACGCAGCATCTCATTCAACTTTGACAATAATCCCCTACGGCGCTTTTGCCATTATTCCTATGCTACAGACGAGGAGACTGAGGCTCAGAGCCCTGCAATGTTTCTGGACTTCTCTGCTGTTTTTCTCCCCAGGAGACAAGAGAGGACAAGGAATTGCCACCATGTGTCTTTGAGATGCCATGTCCCGGGCACGCCAGGGAGCGGAGGGTCTCAAGTGAGTCCCCATCACCCCCAGAAAATGAGTGTTGTGATGTGGGGGGGAGCACAGGTGGGGGCCCCAGAGTCAGGGGCTCCAGGCCAAGCCGAGCCCTGTTGCTGGAAGGGGACCTCTCCGCGCTTCGGTTCCCTCGTCTGATGGGGGGCGACCAGAGGGGCAGTAATAATTCCTAGTGAGAGACAAATGAAAAACTAGGTGTGCAATGGCTTCCAAAAGGCTGCAGAAAGTATCTGGGCCTCCCTCAAGCGAAGATCCACCCTCCCCAGATTTGTATGGAACATACATGAAAACCTAGCCGTGCAATTTCTTAGTTCTCGCCATTGGACCACGGTTACACAAGCGTTAACGTGCGGGGAAGCTGGGCGGAGGGTGTATGGGGCTCTCTGTGCCATCGTGGCGCTTCTGTAAGTCTACGATTGTTTCCAAATAAAAAAGTGAAAAAAACAAAAAACAACCAAACCAACACGTTACACCACGGAATGACCTGGCCCCGGCCCCAGCCAGGGGAAGGGACTCCTCGCCTTCCTGCGGTTTGGCCTGGGAAACAGACACCACCTCTCCTGTCGGTGTGATGGACACCGACGAGGGGCTCCCCAGGGCTGCAGGGTCAGCATTCTGGATGATTCCGGACCTCTGGAGTTTCCCACACCTCTTAACTCAGACCCTCTGCCCACCCTGCCGTCTACTCGGAAGCAGCTGGGACATCACCAGGGCCACATGTCCTGGCTTTTTGCAGAGAACACAGGATTCTCATTCTCTCCCCGCAGAACCTTGAACAGGACATTTGGTGGACAAACCGAGGGCAGGGACCCCTCTTCTGTGCCTCTGTGCGTGCCTCAGGGCAGAGCTCTCAGGAGCCAGCCACTTAACTAACACCTCCTACCAACACGCCTCCTCCAAGATGCCCAGGTCTTTCCTTAGAGGAAAACAAATGACCAAAGACCCTGCAAAGTCTAGGTCACCTGATTTGGCAGTAGGCAGGGTCCTGGGTGGGGAGCAGGTGCTGGAGGACAGAGCTCTAGTCTTGGTTCTGCCATCCACTCGTGACCTTGGACAAGATGCCTCACCCTCCCTGGTCTTGGTTTTCTTATCAGTGAGGTGTTGGGTCTAGAAGATGTCCTTTCAACTCTTACGCGGTGTTTAAGCAAAGAAGCGGGGGGGGGGGGGCGGGGGGGGCAACTCCCAGCTCCCACTTCTTGCTGCCGTGACCTTCGACTAGATGCATCATCTCACTGTGCCTCAGTTTCCTCATCTGTAAAATGAAGCTCACGATGGTACTACTTCCAAGGGTCGCTCAGAGGAGCCAGCAGCAACGCTCGCACGGGCCGGATGCGTAGCAAGCTCTCAGCCTCTGGCAGCCGCTGCAATCAAGTCGCTTTGAAACCAAGCCTGTGAAACGCCTGGCACTGCCTGCCGTGGGGGCGGGGGCCCTGCAAACGGTAGCACAACCTTTATTTGTTAGCGTCATTGTCCTTGTTGCTATCGTTTGTCTCCATTCACCCCTACCATTCCCTGCCTCCACCTTGGCACCTGCCTACAACCTTCCAGCAACCCTGGAGCTGGGTCTCAATCTTGTTCCCTCACTCCCTGGCTGGGTGGCCATAGGTCACTACTTTACCTCTCTGAGCCTCAGTTTTCTCATTTGTAAAGTGGGTATAATAATGCTTACTTGCACGGCTGTTGGAAAGACCAGATGAGAAAATACAGAAAGATGCTTGGCACACAGTTGGTGGCTTATATGTGTTAGTTCCACCTCCCTTGACTCTTCCTACCACACCTGACACAGGTTGGAGCTTTGAAAAAACAATAACCACAAAACCCTGAAATCAACAAGGACAAGGAAGATATAAACAGAGGACCTGGGAAGCCTTACTAGCAACCAGCTGACCTGGTACGAATTTTCAATACTATCTACCCCACGAAGTGAGAATCCCATCTCCAGCCCCTCCATCCCTGGAAATGCAGCCTCTGAGCCTCAGTTTCTTCATCTTTAAAATGGGGACACTGAGAATATCTCCTCATGGGGTTATGGGAAGGACAACATGAGCCAATGGACGAGGATGCCCAGTACAGTGCCTGGCACACAGTGGGAACAGAATTCAATGAACTCGTAATGTTGAGGTATGAGGGAGAATGTTCCTTTGGAGAGATCCAGAACATTCTTCCTTCTGTAAGACATGTGAGTACAGCACTACCTTTGCAGTTGGAAACTGGCTCAAGGCCCCCTGGGGCCAGCTTGCTGACGTCTTCATTGTCCCATCAGAAAGAGACAGAGAAGGCAGGGATGGGGGTGGGAGGGAGGCTCAGAGGACCAGACGATTCTGTTCTTTTCCTTCCCTTAAGAAACTGAAATTAGCCTAATTAGGTCTGCCCTTGTCTGGGCTGCTGCGGGGATTGGACAAATTTAGAAGCTATTGACAGGTGAGCCCGGCACACACTGGTAGCCCACAGCGAAACTGAGCCGGCCATTGAGTCAGCGGCTGGAAGGCTCTTTCCTTCCCTCTGTCGTGAGGACCAGCACGAAGGACCCAGCCTCCTGGTTTATCACCTCGCCTCTAAATAGCTCCCGGGCTCGGTTTCTTATAAATTAGTATCGCAAACAGGGATCACCTTCCCATCTCAGAGAACCGGGAGGCAGGGTCATTCAGGGCCAAGCTAGACAGCCGCAAGGAGGTGGCGTAGACAGTCCTGGGTGTCTGCTCTGTGTCAGACACTGCCTGGTGCGCCACCCGTTGGCTTTCTTATCTTCGTTTTATTTATAGAGAAACTGAGGCTGAGAGTCATTCAGCGAGGAAGATTCTAACTCGGGCATGGCTCGTGCCAGCCTGTTTCTCCTTCTCGAAGGTTGGAGGTTAAGGGCTCTGCGCTCAGCTCAAGCTGTAACCCCCAGAGGAGAAGGAGAGGGACGCGTGGATGGCGAACGTCTTCAGCTGCTCCCTTTTACAGGAGGCCGGTTACGTAAGGAGGGCGGCTTCCTCTCCCCTTGCTAAACCTTATCTAGCGCAGCATAAGGCCGGAGCTCGGGAAAGTCCACGCGGGAATAAAAAGGAGCAGATTGCTAAGCACAGAAGCCATTTATAACTCCAGCGTCTCAGCTCGGCTCGGGGGAGGAGCTGGCGGAGTCAGGAGACCCAGGTCCCGTTCGGCCAAGGACTCGCTGTGTGACTTTGGCACTTAACTGGGCCTCAGTTTCTCATCTCTCAGTAGGGATAACGGTGTCCCCTTGACCTCATTAGGCTGGTGCGAGGGCACAGTGAGATGGGACAAAGGATCGTACACCTTAGGGCTCTGCCATCAGGACTGTGGGCTGGCCCCGATGTGCATACCCTGTCCGGCTTGGAAACCGGATCCCACGGGGGCTGAAGGGCTGGAATCACCGGGCGGCAGGGAGCGTCTCCCCCCATCCCTCTCACTTTTCTCCCATTTTGGGCGCACTCTCACTTCCATGGAGGATTGGGGTTCCACCACTTTCAAAGGGTTTTGAGGTGGCTTACAAGCAAAAACATTCACACAGAACCAGAGGAAAGGAATCATTTCCAGAACATTCACTTCATTCGAGCAAGAACCCTGGCAGGTGGGTATTTTCTCCCTGCCTTCCAGATGAGGACGTGGGTGTCCTCCGAGAGGAAAAGGTACAGCCATTCACACAGCTGGTACCATGTGTTTGGCAGGTTCTGTTTCCGAGGGGCTCAGGTGTCCCGCTGCAGCCCGAGGGCTTCCTCCACCGATGGTTAATAGGCTACTTAAGGATAAAAGAGAACAGATTTTGCCAGGGGGAAGCAGAAAAGGCAATGCCTTCAGGCATGTGAGTGGCGCAGCCTGCCACGGTCAGGCAGTAATTATGACTACGTTTTTCAGCAACAGAAGCAAAAAGCAAACCGCAGGCTTTTTAATTGGCATAGGCTTAAAGCCTAGGAAAGTGGATCCGCCACCAGGAATGGATTTCAGGGACAGTGTAGCTAGGATCGCGTGCACGCATGTGTGTGTGTGTCAGGTGGGCAGGTCTTTTCTCCAGCACTGGGGGTAATAGCGAGACATTAGAGGTCAGGGCTTGAAATGGGCCCCAATGCTTGGTAGCAAGTTGCTCTGCCCCCCCAGGCCTCAGTTTCCTTGTCTGTACAGGTAATAAAGGAGGAGCTGTTGTGAGGTTTGAATGAGCTGAAAGAAGCAAGGCCTGTGTGCAGGACTTGGCAGGACGTGGGCGTGGAAGCTGACCTTGATTCCTGCCGGCCTGCGCACACTGGATTTGGAGAGCCTGGGCCGGGGACACACGCCTGAGTGAAGCGGGATCCCAGATGGTCCTGGCTAGACCACCGAGCCTCACTCCCGGCTCTGCAAAGGAGTGCCCCCGGGCATGTTACTTAAACTCTCGGTGCCTCAGTTTCCTCCCTTGTAAAACAGGGACAATGATGGCATCTGCTTCCTAGGATTATTTATCGTAAGGCAGTGGTTCTCAAAGTGTGGTTCCCCAGACCCTCACCACCACCTGCTAACTTGATAGAAATGCAAAAGCCTGGGCTCCGCCTAAGGAATCAGGGGTGGGGGCAGCCATCTGTGTTGGAAAGGCCCTCCAGGGGATTCTGAGAGCTGCCCCAGTTTGAGGCCGTTGTTGTGGAGGTGAAGTACCGGAAGGGACCTGCTACTCAGCATCCTGCCTGCTTTTGTTCCCGGGCTTTGTAACTGCAGCTGAGCTTTTTGGCACCTTTCTCCTCTTTGGAGTTTCCTTCTCCTTTTCTGCCTTAAAATCCCCCTTTACCGGCCCTGCAGCAGCTTTTCAGGGTGGCCTTTGAGAATCAATCAACCACATCTATAAAAGTCTTCGAGCTTCCTGGAAGTAGTTGCCCCAGAGACAGGAATGTAAAAGGTTATTATTAGAACTTTATCTTCCTACCCCCTCCTTTTAATACAGGATCTTAAAGCACCTGTAAGTGTTATTCACCTTCAAAAGGACAAACAGGGCTGGGAGCAGAGCAGTCCCTGGTTCTGGGCTCCCCCAGCACCTGCGGCACGCAAGTGCCCAGCCCGTATGTGTCTGCAGCCTTGGCCGGCAGACTGCTCTCCCTACCCACAGGTGCTGTGCCTCCTCCTCCCTGCATCCCCAGAGCTGGACGCACGTTCATTCGTTCATTCGATAACAAACTTTTCTTGTTCTGCCACTCCGTGCCAAGCCCTCTCCTAGGCTGTGGGGCAAAGTTCCTGCTCTGTGGAGCTGACAGCCTAGTGGGCGGAGACAAACAAGCAATAAGTCCATAAATAAAATCACCTTATGGTAGATGCTCACCAAACTTCAAATGAATAAATGAATGAATGAGTGACGCAGGCAGCTCAGGTCATGGGCTTTGGAGCCCATCTCAGGCTTGGCCTCAGATCCTGACCGGTTCTCTCCCCAGCCTGGGGGTTTAGGCAAAGCCTCAGCCCCTCTGAGCCTCGGCGTCCTCGTCTACAAAGAGGGAACAGTCACAGTATCCATCTCAAAGACAGCTAGGAGGATTGAATGAGTGAGGTGCTAAGCGCAGTGCCTGGCATGCGCTGAATGCCCCACAAAGTTAGACGCTGTTGCTGTCATCATTCACGGTCGCACAGCTGAGCCTAAGTACCCAACTGGTCCTCTGTGGAGAGATTTATCCACCGGGACATCTGCGAAATCCCAGAGCTGGAATGGACCCCAGTGATCGGCTAGTGAGCTGACCCCTGGTTTTAAAGACTGGGCACCTAAAGGTCAGTTAAAGGTCAGAGGGGTCCCATGACTTGCCCCAGGTCCCCCGGGCGTTGAAGGCATCCTCCTGCTGGAAGGTGGGGCGCAGACCCTCTGGCCTTTACGGGGAGCCGGCAGCAAAGCAGCGCATCTGGAGCAGAACCTGCTGCGTCCTGCAAAGGGCTCTGCCTCCTATTTGGCCACCTACGGGGCACCACCACACCTGCCCCTCCTGTGCTTAGGGGTGGAAGTGGGGGAGGGGCGTCCGCACTCGTGCATTTCATCTCTTGCCCACAAGCTTGATGGAGGCCTGCACAGTGCTGTCAGGTAGATCTGGGCTTAAATCCTGGCCCTGGTGCTTGCTGGCAGTGTGACCTTGGGCCCCCTGAGCTGCTCTTTCTGCACCTGCACCTGTGTCCTCTGTCATCCCAAGGTCAAACGAGGTGACACTTGTACAGAGCCCAGCACTGGACTGTACACACATTACAGGCCCAGTAATAAATCTCCCCTCTCACCCTCTGCAAACCAGTCATCTTGCCCGTTTCTGAACACACCCTAAACTTTCCAACCTTTGCTGGTGCCAACGCCTTGCCCGGACCTCCCTCTCTCCGCCCCTCCCAGCCTCCTGCCCACAGCCTCCAAATCTGCACAGTGCCCACTGTCTGCCCTGTCTGCCTCTGCCTGGCAGTACCATTTGTTTTTGTATATATACATAGAACTGCAAGCAGTGTGCAGACAGAATAAAAATAGTATCGCAGCTGCCATTTATTGAGCACTTACTATGTGCCGGGCGCTGCACTCAGCACTCCCCTGTTATCATGCCAGTTTACAGGTGAGGAGGCCAGGGCTCAGGGTCACGGAGCTGCTGACCAGGGCACCTAGCCAGAAAATGGACTTGATTCATCTCAGAAAACATCTGCTGGCTCTGCTGGAAGAGTTTACTTGTCACTTTAAGATCTGAGTGCAGCAAATGGGGGCGAGGGGGCGGGGAGGCAGGGAACCGGGCCAGGGTCTGGCTGGTTTCAGGTGGTCATTTAGGTTGTCTGGAGCAGCCAGCCGTGAAGACCCTGCCAGGGCTTCCGAGCTGTGGCATATTGGCTGCACTTGAAAATGGGAGGCAGGTCTGGAGCCCTGGGTTGGGGTCACAGTGGGAGGCAGAACTTGGCAGGGTGCAGAGGTCTGATGAGTGGTTTGGTGAGGACGGGGGCACAGGGGGAGGATCTGCCACTCACCAGAACCCAGGAGCAGCCAAGCCACCAATGCCCCCCACACACCCTCCGCTCCAATGCTTTAAAAGCACCTCCCTCCCTCCCACACAAGAAGGGCGGCCGGCATCAGATGGCCGGGGGACTCCCTGCATCAGATCTTGGTAGAGATTCTGCATTCTTGTACTTTAATAAACTTAGACTCACTTTCAGAATCTTGTACCCTTCCCAAAGCAATTTTCTGTCTGCAGACACTAAATTTTCACCACGAGCCCAAACAGGCCTTGGGAAAAGTTTGTGCAACCATTTGCCAGGCAAGGGAACCTCGGTGTGGAGAGGTGGTGCGTTCAAGGTCACGGCTGGCGAGGGGCAGAGAGTATGAGGGTCTGGACTTTACGCTCAGGTGGCAGATGTTGATTAAGTACCTGCTTTGGGTCAGCTATCGGCTGGATACTGGGGATAAAAGGATGAATGCAACCCCGTCCCTTTTAGAAAATTAGTTAACAAACACATATATAGCATTTACTCTGTGCCAGACACCGCTCTAAGCATTGTACATATTAACACACCTAATCCTCATGACCACTCTCTGAGATAAGAACTATCGTTATCCTTAGTTCAGAGATGAGAAAACTGAGGCCCAGAGTAGTTATGTAAATGGCCCAAGGTCACACAGCTAGAAAGTGGCAGGACTGGGATTTGAACCCAGGCAGTCTGGGACCAGAGGCCAAGCACCTACACAATTTTCCCTGAGATTGGCAGAAAGGACCGTCAGGAGGACAGATGGTGGCATAGCATGCTGCAAAGACGCATGCAGACCTGGTTCTAAAGCCCTGCTCTACCACTGCATCCCAGCTCTCCGAACTAGGCTAAGCACCTTTGATGTCCACGTGCCCACCTGCAAAGTGACTGCCAAGCATGTCACGATGCTAAGGGACATCACGGTGCTGGAATGCGCACCACGAATGCCAGGCAGAGCCCAGTGGAGAAGGACGTGGGATGGTGAGCCAGCAGCCCCTTGCCTATGCTAACAGCAAAGCTTGAAATGTAAGGTAGGACCAGGTATTCCCCTTCCAAATTCCCAGCTGATTCCTGGCTGGCTGTTTTTCCTGGCTCGCCTACGACAGTGGAATGGTATACTTGAGTGAAGCCAAAATAGGTTTTGAGACTTGAGGTTATGGGACACCAGGACACGATTCCGAGAAGGACAGGAGATAAGGAATTTCCATTCCCAGGATCAGAGAACGTGAGAGGCAGAGGGTCCTTGGGGATCAGCTGGCCTCATCTCCTCAGGTTACAGATGGGAGACGGAGGCCCAGTGGATGGGAAACACTGCCCAGGGTCACACAGCCAGTGTGGGCACAGCCCAGACAAGTAGCTACACAAAGGTGCAGGCAAAGCTCAGGGAAAATCCCAAATTCTCTTGCGTCCATACGCAGCGGAGAAAAAAAAGAGAACTACTTCCTTTTGGGTTGTTCAAATCTAGTAAAATATATCAGTTTTTCTTTGCCTGGTGTATGTGACAGAGCTCTCAGACCTAATGGATGGCCTTTCTTCTTCTCATCTTGGAGAATAGGGGGCCCTTTATCTCCCCCTTCCTTGTGACAGACACGGCTTGAAACTTTCAGCATCCAAATATCCCGAGACCCGCCATATGCGCAGACCCCGGTCATGGCTACCTACCGTCAACCCCGATTTTGCCGTCCCCATCCTTGTCTCCGGCAGCCATCAGCGTCTTGGTTTCTTTAGCAGACAGGTCTCTGGCGTCTGGAGAGAAGCCCTTTAGGATGAATCTGGAGGAGGAAAGGGAGAAAGTCGGCTGAGATCACTCGCAGGAACACCGCATGGTGGTGGGCTGGCATCTGCGCAGGGGAAGGGGGACGCTGGGACAGGCAGCAAGCGTGGCGCGCATGCAGCCACGCTGCGCCAGGTAGCCTGGTCGGTGGCTGTGCCTTCCTGGGTGCGTGTGCAAGGAAGGACAGGCTGTCCTCAGAGAAGGGTCTATCCCACCTCAGGCGGTACACCTGCGTTTGTAATCTATTCAACAAATATCTGCTAAGTGTCTTCTCTGTGTCAAGGATCTGCTGGAAACTGGGGGCATGGTGGTGATCTTAGGAAGGAACTGAGGAAGTGGGGAGGAGGCCGAGTGCTCTGAGAGAGACCTCATGGTGTGATGGACACAGTGAAGGAGGATGCAGAAAGGGGTGCTTGGGGGCTGCAGCCACCCACTTGGGTGAGCGAGGGGTCGGGGGAGGCTCCCTGGACAGGGGGACGCCTGGAGGCCGGGGTAGCCAGCCTCAGTGGCTGTGCGCACGTGTGAGTGGGTAGAAGGAGAAGGTTCAGAGGGTACCCTCGTGAGATGGTTTGGGAGAGACAGAGAATGGGCATGGAGCCCTCTGTCCACACCCTCCTCTTCTCTTATTGACAAAATCCAAGGCAGTCTTGGCCAGAGGGTGACAGAAGGCACAGCTGGGTCGGCAGACGTGCCAGGTGGCCAAAGGGTGTTATGATGATGAGAGGTGTCTTTGCTGATGCGGTTTGCACTTTCTTAAGCATAGCCTGCCCCCCCTCTGCTTTGCTCCAAGAATCCCTGAAAACCCAAAGCTAGCTCTGCATCCCAGCTGGCCCAGACATTGCTCCCAGCAGCGCTAGTACCGAAGGGGTGGGGTCTGCATGATGCTGGAAGGTGCCTTTTAGACAAATGAAAATCAATGAAATACTCAAATGAGTGTTTTCTTCCTTGCCTGTGGTATCAGGCAGCAAGAAAAACTGCCTCTTCATTTGTATTAAATTATTAAGTAGCATCATTCCATTAGCAATATTAAGTGGCTATAATTTAACCTAGTTAGTTGCACTGTTAGATGAGGGTTTTGCTCTTCGGAAGCAGCAGCGCTGGGAAGCGTTTCCCCCTGGCTTTTGGAGTGTGAGCCCTGGGGTCACCACGGTTATTCTCAGTGAAGGTTGCAGAGAGAAGGGCAGGTGTGATGGGAACTTGAACAACAGCCCCAAGCCCCAGTCCCCTCCCCGCAGCTTACCCCAGCTCATCTTCCTCGATGAAGCCACTCTTGTCTTTATCCAGGATGTGGAACACCTTCTTCACGTCGTCCGCGCTTTTTTTCTTCAGGCCAACCATTTGGAAGAACTTTTTGTGGTCGAAGGAGTCGGTGGCTGTCAGGGGAAGAGCAGAGTCAAATGAGGACCAGGAAGAGACAGTAGAGAAGGGCGGGAAGTGGGGGATGTCGCAGCATTTGTTGATGGACTCCCACGTGCCAGCGACGGGAATGGGAGCAACGCTCCTCCATCCCGGCCAGGGGAGGATGCTCTATCCAAGGTCACCAGCCGGAGGTGGAAGAGGTGGTCTCACACCCAGACCTCCCTGGCTCTCGAGCCTGCTCCCCGTTTCCACTGCACCGTTCCCTAGTGGGGGCAGCACCTAAGCCCCAACCCGAGACTTCCGTTCCCTCGAAAACCTTGTGTCCACGAAGCCTTTTGGGTGTGGCTGGGTGGGAGTGGGCCGGGGAGTCGAAGGTGGTGTGACCATGGTGAGTGTCTGTTGGAGTTGCAGGGAGGAGGGTCAACCTTCTTTCCTGATCACAGACCGTTGCCAGAAAAATCAACATAGAAAGGACAAGTTTCTCCCAAGGTCATACAGTGGGAGGAGGGGAGGACCCAGAAGTCCTGGCTTTGCTGCAGAAATCCATTCCAGTGGTAGTGGGGGGGGGTGACGGAAGGCTCCCCAGGAATTTCCAGTTAAGTTTCTTCTCATGGGTAGCCAGGCGGGCTCAAGGGGAAGGGGGTGGGTTATCGCAGCACCCTGAGTGGGGGGCTTCCCAGAGGTTCTTGTGTGCAGGGGAGGGGCGCCAAGCAGAAAGGAAATGGGGGTCCCTCCCTCCTCCCAATTTTCTATGTCTTGAGTTCATTCTTCAGAACACCTGGGAAAGGGTACAGTGTTAGATTGTGTATCTTATGTACGTATGTGTGTGTGGGGGGGGAGAGCTCTTGGGAAGGAAAATTGCCCTGTCTGCCTCTGACACTAGGGTGGGAGACCAAGACCTGGAGGCGACCCCAGTTCTAACACCCCTTCTGCCGGGCTAAGTGACCTTGGGCAAGTCTCTCATCCTCTCTGTGCCGGTCCCCTGGTTTCCCCATCTGGGCGATGGGAAGGAGGAAGGCTGGCAGCTAAGCCCTGAAGTCCCGGGCAGCTCCCGAGAAGTGAGGCTGCCGTTCTCCTCCCATGCCCGCCTCAGAGGCTGGAAGGCGCTGAGGATGCTCGGTGCAGGGTTGGGCAGAGCTGAGCGCCGGCTCCAGAAGGTCACCTCGTCTGCAAGTCCGTCAGAGGAGAGGGGTTCTGAGCCCCAGGAGGGAATTCAGGCAGTCGGGGGCCAACAACTGCCTCGGCTGGAAAAGTCCTGTCCGGAATGGGGGTCCAGGAAAGGGATTGCTTGGAGAGGACTGCAGCCTGCAGCCCCTCCGCGCGCCTTAAAGGAAAAGTCCAGCGCGCGCACGAGGACCCTGGAGGTCCCTCCTCCGACCCTGGTCTTTGCCCTTGGTCTGGGACCCTGAGTCCTCCCAGCCTGGCCACGCCGGACCCTGAGTCCTCCCGGCTTTCGGCGCCCGCAAGTTTCTGTTGCTCCGGCAGGGCGCTGGCTTCCCCGGCCGCTCCCTGTGCCAAGTCCCGCCCGGACGGAGTTTGGGGACTGCTGAGGACACCCCCGCCCGGACCCCGCAGGCGTCCGGCCGGCTGGATGCGTGGGCAGAAAAGCACCAGGAAGGACCCGGGGGCGGCCGCAGACCTACAAGGTGCAGGGGCGAGGGCGGTGGACGCGGGGAGAGGGGTGAGGAGGGGAGCGTGCTGCTCACCCGTAAAGGCTCCCACTGCCTTCTTGATGTCCTCAGCGCTGAGCAAGTCTGTCATCGCCATCCTGCAACTGTTTGAGCGGGCAGAGCAAGTGCGAAAAGATTAAAAAGTGCTTTTCTCATCATTTCTGCTCATATGACCAGCGCTGCAGTGCTGCGCGCCGCCCGCCCGGCCTGGCACCGCGCCAGGGTCGCTGGGCTCTGCGCGCCGCCGGGACGGCTCAGTCCAGCCGCGCCGCCGAGCAGCGCGGGCCGCGGGCGGGAGGGCGCCCGCCTGCCCCAGCTCCGGCTCCGGCTCCCCGCTCCGGCTCCCCGCTCCTACTCCCCGCACCTGCTCCCGGTGGTCCTCGGGATCCCGGGGGCTGAGGCCAGGGCACGAGGGGAAGGGGCCACCTCTGGAATTTAGGGAGCGCCCGCGTCACCGCTGGGTCTGGAGAGTCCTCCTGCCGTCAGGGCAAGCAGGAGGCGCGGGGTCTCTGACCTGGGCACCTCGGAGGCTGTCCTGCAGCGCGGGGAGGATACTGGACCGGCAGGCGCCAGCCCGCACCCCCGTGGGCTCCTCAGCCCTGCTCCCCTTTTCTCTCCGTTCCTACCTCCGCCTTTGCTCTGATCTGTCCTGGATGCAAATTTATGCTGCAAAATCTGAGTGCTGAGGTCGTGAAACCTGACCCACTGGTCCCGGGGAGAGGGTGGCAGGCACAGGGACAGGCAGGAGCTGCTGGGGCCCTTTGCGGTTACCCCGTACCACATCTGGCCAGAGATGTGCATTCGGAAACCTGACTTTATTTATTTACTTATTTAATTTTTTTGCTGACTTAGCTGTCTACTAACTACTTGCTTTCCTGGTCTCCTGGGCCCCAGGGGAGGGGGCGTGCAGACTCTCCCCACTCCCATACACTGTGGGAGGGAAGGGCGGGGAGCTACTGGGAATCTCTATGCACCTTCCTAGAAGTCCCTGTGCATGTTTGGGGTGAGGGTGGCCCCATCCCACCAAACTTTCTAGACCGATTGAGCAGGCTTGGGGGTGGGCACTGCGCTTTTGGGAATGTGACACACCTGTCTTTACGGAGCCGGAGACTAGTTACATTCTTCCCCGTGATCCCACGAGGATCCAGCTGCGACAAGCTACCTCTAGAGCCTGTGAGTGCCGGTCAGGGAGGCAGGAGGCCTGGGTCCTAGATCTTGGGCTGTACTAAGTCCCTGCGTGACCTTGGCTTGTGACCTTCTTTTCTGGGCTTCTGTCTCCCTCTATTGTGTTAGATGGATGGTCTCTTCTAGTGGGACCTGGGGACTCCAACTTAAGGTGTGGGCAAGTAGGCAGGGGCTGGGATGGTGGTGGCCCTTGTGGTGGGGACCAGAGAGAGCTGCTTAGCTGCCTAGTCAGTCCCTCAAGTTCCCTGGCGCTCCCTGTCAACACTGTCTCTCCTGCTCAGCCTTGGATGGCTGCCCTTCCTGGGAACCTTAGGATGCCGCTGCTGGCTCCTGCTGCCCCCTCCCTGTGAGTCAGCTCCTTTGGGCAGCAGCCCGCCAGCTGGCTTCCAAGGGGCCGAACCCGCAGCTCCGACCTGCTATCTCTCAGCTCGAGGCCTTCCCAGGAGCCCCTGGCTGCCCTGGTCCCTGCCGCCTCTGCCCCTTGACCCCGGCTGGGGCCACTGACTCCGACACACTGAGCTTCTGTTCTGTCGTTTTAGCTCCCAGGGTCAGCTCACTACGGGGGCCTAGCTGGAGAGTCTGTTCTCCCAGCTGAGGGACCCTTATGCTACATTGGTAGGGAAACTGAGTCCGGATGGTCATGACTGGCCTAAGGAGACGCAGTGAGACAGTGGCGGATAAGGACCCACTCCCAGCTCTACTGACTTGGAGTTCGGTGACCCTCCCGGTGGCCTCCCTGGTGCCCAGGACCCAGCTCTAAGTCCCACGCATCTGAGCCACATGGTGGCTCCTGAAGAGTCCCCAAACACTGACCCTGTGGCAAAGTCGGGAGCTGCGACAGAGACCTACTCTTCTCTCTCCTCCCTGCAGCCCTCCCTGCTGCTGAGCCCTCCCATCAACCTGACACCCTCTCTGGGCCTGAGCCCCCCCGGCTGGAGAATCAGACAAGGTTGTCAGGTCACCCATCAGCCCTCGGTAGAACTCTTCCAGAATCCTCTGCCCTCTGGGTCCCCTCTGATGGCATCGCCAGAGTCCACAGATGTCTGGCTCCACCCCTCTGGTTCCACAGATGGGGAGTCTGAGGCCCAGCCAGGGAGAAAGAGTTGTCCCTAGCCATGCCAGGAGTCAGGGGAAGAACCCAGGAATTCTTACTCTCAGCCCTGGACTCCACAGTTGCCTGGCTTTGAGCATCGCCACCCCCATCCCTGGGGCACTGAGGGAAGGGGAGATGTGGCTGTCCCTTCCAGCTGGCCTCATCCTGCGGCATCCCTCTGTCCTCCTCCAACCTCAGTAGCTGCCACTCACCTGGGGTGGGGGTGGAGGGATGGAAGCTGCTGCAAGGCTGGGCTGGTGGGAGTTCCTGTTGGGAGGTGAGCCTGGCGGTGGGACGGCCACCTATATAGGCTTCTGCCCTGGCTATTTTGGGAGGTGGCGCCCCCCCAGCCCCCAGCCCCCTCCCCTTCCGGTGTCAGGTACTCCCCAGCCGTGGTGCTGGGTGTCTGTATCACATTCACTCTCCCCGGGCCCATCAAGCCAGGCCTATTAATAACCCCTGGCCCCTGCCTCCCTCCGGCTCCCAAAGTCGAGGCTCAGGCAGGGCTCGCCTCTTCCACGAAGTCTTCCATGACCACTCTAGAAGGCAGCAACATTTCCTTCCTCAAAATCCTGCAAGGAAAGGAAGAGAAAAGGCAAGGGAAAAAATGGAACAAGAATTGTCCTTTGTGCACGAGACTGGGCCGGGTCCTCTGCATCCACCGTCTTCTCACTACAGCCTTGCCATGCAGCCCCAGCTGCTCTCGCACAGATCAGGAAACAGCACAGAGACGCTCGATGTTAAGTGACCTACTGATCAAAGCTATGGACCTGTGGACTTGGCACTGTCATGAGATGGTCCAGTTCCCTGCAGAAAGAGATGCTCTGCGTGTTCTCAGACAAGTCCCTTCCTCTCTCTGGTCTCCGTCTTCCCATCTGTAAAATGAGCTCAATCAGGGCAGACTGTGCTCTATGGCTGGGCTTGAGGGGGAAGATAAGACCCCCTGAAATTGTACGCAAAATGCCACGTACAAGTGGAACAGCGGCCCACAGCTGTCGTGATTTGCGAAAGGATCGCCGATGTCTGTCTTGGACTAGAGATGACTGTCCGAGGGGTGTGTTTTGAAAAGCATGAATGAACAAATGAATTCAACAAATATTTATTGAGTATCTACTATAAACACCATGAAATGTTTCCCCCTTCATCCCTAAGCTTAAAAAAGAATCATCCAGTTCTTGACAGGGACGTGAGGAGGCCCAGGCTTCCTGCAAAGGCTGTTTGCGTAGGAGGCTGCAGGGCTGGAAGGAGCAGAGGGGACCACGTGGGCTGGGGCCAGGGCTGGAGCCCGGATGTGTGGGGCAGGGGCCTGGGCAAAGACGGTGGTGGAGGCAACAGGCAGGAGTGCATCTCCGAGGGAGAGCCTTCTGGACTTGGGGCTGTGGCATGAACGAGAGGGACAAGTCCGAGTTGAGTCTAAGTTTCCAAGCCGGGGTTCACTGGAGAAAGGCGGTGCTGTTTACGGAGGTGGTGAGTCCGGGGAGGCGGGTGCCAGCTGGGGAGATGGTGCACTGGCGTGGAGAATCCTAGGACGTTAGGGCTGGGACAGCCTCCGCGGTGATCTAGTATGATCTGCTACAACCCGCATCACGTTAGAGATGAAGAAACCAAGGCCAAGGTGACTTACCCAAATCCCACAGAGAGCGGTGGGGAGCTAAGAGCTTGAGCTGGGTTTGGGGTGCCCAAAGGACTTTCTGGTGGAGATGCCCAGGAGGTCTGAACCCCGGGGTGAGGTCAGGGCTGTTCACAGGGCTTTGGTGGTCACAGGGAGGTCAAGGAGTAGGAGTCGTGGGCTGGCTGAGCTCAGGGGAGCAGGGGAGCAGCATAGTCTTGAGGGTAAGTCCTTGAGCAAGATCCTGGCCGGGGCCTGGGAAATACTCACACTTGTCTGTTGAACACTGTGCCGGGTACAGTGATAGCATCATGTGTTCATTCCCGTCACCCCTTAAAGAGGTAGGGAGTACATTCCCCATTTTACTGATGAAAGAACAAGGCTCAGAGAGGTTAGGCAACTTGCCTAAGGTCTCAGAGCAGAGGTAAGAGTTCAGGTTTCTCTGACTCCAAAGCACTTGCTCCTTTCTTCCATGTGATCCTGCCTCTTGGATAAGACCAATAGAAGATTAGGGAGGCGCCCACCGTGAGTGAATTCTCGGGAACCAGGGTGGCCTTCCTTTGGTTCCCCATAGGTCTTCTCTGTGCATCTGCAATTAAGCGAATCCAGATGGGCTGACCCATATTGTGGGGGTACATTTATTGTGCACCTACTGTGTTCTAGTGCTTTATATACATTATCTCACTTCGTCCTTACTATAGCCCTCAGAGGTTTGAAGAAATAGAATCTCAGAGAGGTTGGTTGTCTTGCCCAAGGTCACACAGCTAGTAAGTGGGAGAGCTGGGATTTAAACTCAGGTCTTTCTGATTCTGAAGCATCTTTTTTCCCATAGTACTTGAAGTAGGGTGCGGATGTCCCAGAGCCAGAGTAGAATATCTTGAAACATTATCCAGTTTCCTTTGCTCCAATCTGTGCTAATTTAAGCAGCCTTCATTTTATTAATTTGGTTAGTTTTACAAGAGCCTTGACACCAGAAAATGGATTTATCGGTCAGGTCTTCTGTGCCTGTAAGTGATGTGAAAATTCTGGCTCGGGCTGGCTTAGGACAAGGGGGGTTTCATTGACGCATGCAGTGGAAAAGTCCAAGAAGGTCTAGGTATGGCTTGATCCGGAACCCAGACACTGGCATGAGGACACTGTCCCTCTTACGTATCAGCAATACCTCGTGCTGCGTTGGCCACCTCCTCAAACTGGGTGCGCCCTGAGGGCTACAAGCCGACTGTCCCCCGCAGCACTGCGAATGTTCAGGTCCAAGTCCTGTGTGGGAGAAGGAGTCCACTGGCCCGAGAGCTTGATCGGAAGTCCCAGAGTTGAGTTTTACTGGCTGCAATTCGTTCAGTTTGGTCCTACATCATCCCTGAACCTGTCACTATGGGTTACCAGGGGAACACAAGCCCCCTTCGAGTTTGGAGGGGGTAGAACGTCAACACCGTTGGAATGGATTGGGGAGGGGGATGCTGGGCAAAGCCCCGGCAGTAGTCACCGATGTGAGTCTGATGCGAGTTTCCGGAGGCTGCCCAAGCGAGCCAGGCACTGGGGAGGTGTCTGCCCTAAGTCTTTGGTGAGTTTGATGTCAGTATGCGTCAAACTTCTGGAGAACGATTCACTCTGGGGCCCAAAGTTGCTTTCCTGGACTTGAGACCCCCCAACCCCACCCTGCCGCTGTGGGACCTAACAAGCAGTTACTCCCACCCCTTGGGCCTGGCTTAAGGCAGCAGCAGTGCCCGAGGGAGTCTTCGTCTAGCACCAAGGTTTCTTACTCTGAGCAGGGACGAGGCACCTGAGCAGATGGGTAGTTGCCACAGTCCCACACGGACGCCCCCTCTGTCCCCTAATATTGTGCGTGGTCTTTAGCTGGACACTTCCGTAAAGTTCTAGCAACATATATGTTATCGAAGTCAATTCCATTATCATCTTTTTGCAGATGTAAACTTTTTATGGATGAACCAAGCTGAGGTTCAGAGACATCAAGTCACTTGCCCAAGGTCACACAGCTCCCTGGGACCAGAACCTGGTCTGTCCGCCTCCACCCCCGTCCAGTGCTCTTCCGAAAGCCTGCTCTGGCCTCCCAGCTGGTCGAGGAGCGGCCAGTGTGTGGGGGTCGGCAGTCTCTTAGCCGCCGTCTGCCAGGAGACGGGCATTCAGCTGTTAGCTCCGCTGGTGATATTTCATTAGTTCGCACTATTTCCACCTGCTGTGGCTGGGAACAGGATACGGAGTCCTTCACGTCCAGGGCCCTGGCGGGCTGGGTGGACCCTGCAGGATCTAATAATATTTATGAGGTCAGCCGTGTGGGGGTGACGTGTATTAACTCTGAGGAATCTTGGCCGCATTCCTCGGCCAGATTTTGAGCCTGTGGCCTTGTTTCTCCTGTCTCCCTCACCCACATTTAAGCACAGTTTCCCCATCGGGAGGGAGGCCAAGGGGTGACAATCCCAAGGGGTGGGAGGGGCGCATAGACAGACAGCCCTGAGTCCCCACCCTGGCTCTGCCTCTTACCCACTGTGTGACCTTGAGCCAGTCGTTTCTTCTCTCTGGGCCTCAGTTTCTCACCTATACAATGGACGTGAAGAGCAAGGGCAGCTGTACTGACTACCAAATGAGGTCATGGCCGAGAAAGGGCTTTGGAGGCTGCGACGTCCCGCATGGGTGATCACAGGGGGGCTGCAGCTGTGCGGACCCCTGTCCTGCCAGAGCGAGAGGACGCGGCGTAGCTTTGTGGCTAGAAACCTGGAGGAGCGAGTGCAGCCTCTGAGCACGTCTGGCTCTCCCAGGAAGGTCTCCAAGGCCAGGGCCCAGCATCCTTGCTGGGGAAGTGGGAGCCACGCGCTGAGGGAAAGCTGGCAGGGGCTGGAGTGGGGCTCTCGGACCCAGTGGGGGCTGGGAGGGCCTGGGACTCAGGAAAGGACGGGGTGAGGCCACCTGGGTTTACGTCCTGGCCTGGAAAACTCCACGCCACCCCCGTGGTGCCCAGAGGAAACCCGGGAGGGGCTCAGGGCCCTCCGTGGGCTGGAGTTATAAAGGCGAATGGGGCAGGATTTTGGAAGATCTGGTAGAACTGGCCTCGGTGGGTGGTGCCGGACAGGGGTGCCCACGGAGAAGCCGAGAGAGGCGGGCCGCAGGGCATTTGAGAGCGCTCTGGCCACGGGACACCGCCCGCGCCCGTGCCGGGTGAGCACGCGGCACCGCGTCTTGAGCCCAGCTCAGATCAGCGAGGCCATCCTGGATTGTAAAGGCCGCATCCCCTGACACCTCATCGTCTCCTCCACCCCTGCCCCCTCAGCCCCTCCTCCACCCCTGCCCCCTCAGCCCACAGCCTGGGACAGAGGCTTAGGGTGGTCGTCAAAAGAAGTGTGTGTCTGTGTGCAGTGTGTATATGTGTATGTGTGTGTCTGTGTGTATGGTGTGTGTGTGGTATGTGTGTCTCTGTGTGTGTGAAGTGTGTGTGGTATATATGTGTAGTGTATGTGTATGGTGTGTGCATGGTATGTGTGTCTGTGTGTATGGTGTGTGTGTGGTATATGTGTTTCTGTGTGGGGTATGTGTGTCTGTGTGTAAAATATCCGTGTGTATGGTATGTGTGTGTCTGTGTGTGTCTGTGTGTGTATGGTGTGTGTGTGTGTGTGTGTGTGTGTGTGTGTGTG